GTTCAGTCCCCCCTTCCCGCCCCGGCCCGCCCCGCCCCGCCCCGGGCTGGCTCCTCCCGGGCACCGGGCAGCGTGCTGGGGGCTCCGCCTGCCTGGCCCTGCCCTGCGCCCCGCTCCAGCCCCTGCCCGTGCCCCGGGGCCCTGCCATCCGTAGGGGCGGGCGCTGGCCGTGGGAGATGCTGCTGGGGGGCAGGAGCCGGAGCCCAGCCCTGCTGGCAGCCAGGCTCACGCCCAGAAAGCAAACAGGAGGGGAGGGGTGTGGGAAGGGGCCTGTTCCGACCTTGACCTGGCCCCGGGGCTCTCCCAGCCCATGCACCCCAGGGCCCTCGCTGTCTTCATTGCCCGGGGGAGCAGGGCAGGGCTGCTGCATCCTGGGCTGAGCTGAGGGCACCATGTCCGGGGTGCGGGCTGGGGCGGGGTGTCTCCAGCCTAGGCCCCAGCTGGAGGCGCTCGGCTCTGCCTGAGCCTGTGGCTGAGACCGTCCTGCTCATTGCACGGATGGGGTTGGGGAGCGGGCCGCTCTGTGCCAGCTGGGCCGTGCTCCACGCGTGCGGGGCAGGGCCGCTGGCACTGTGAATCACGTCAGAGCCATGTGTCGTGGCCCCACGCTGGGCAAGGTCCAGGCTGCAGCCAGGCGCCTGGCAGCGGGGGGGTAGGGGGCGGGGCCGGGAAGCCTGGGCATGGCTGGCGAGTCGCCCTGTGCCGACAGCCCCTGCTGCTCTGTGCCCCTGGTCCCTCGGGGTGGGGGGCAGGGGCTGCACCCACATGGGCAGGGGGATCCCCCCGCCCGGCCGGCGCGTCCCAGGCCCGTGCAGAGCAGCAAGACACGGGGTGGGAAGGGTCTGCAGGGCTGTCTAGTGCACCCCAGGTCCCGGTCCAGGGTTGGGGTGGTGCGGGTGCTCTGGCCCTTCGGGGCTGGGGTCCCAGCATGGCCCCTCGGGGTGGGGGGCAGGGGCTGCACCCACATGGGCAGGGGGATCCCCCCGCCCGGCCGGCGCGTCCCAGGCCCGTGCAGAGCAGCAAGACACGGGGTGGGAAGGGTCTGCAGGGCTGTCTAGTGCACCCCAGGTCCCGGTCCAGGGTTGGGGTGGTGCGGGTGCTCTGGCCCTTCGGGGCTGGGGTCCCAGCATGGCCAGGCGCAGGCTGGGGGCCGTGGGGGACCCAGCGCCCGGCTCTGGCAGGGCTGCGCCCAGGCTGCCACCGCCCAGGACAGGCATGGCAGGAATG